CTTTGTTGCTTCTCAGCTAGATGGCTGCTTGTTTACCTTCATGCCTTTAAGACTACAGACTCTATATCTTTTGATAGCCGGGCACCATCCGCTTTCTTCACCACATTTGCTTCTGTACCCATTTTGCCTTCAGTGATCATGTCAGGTAGGTGACTATCACAGAATACCAGGTTATTAGAACAAAGTGTTCTTGTGTTGAGGGAGTACTTGAGTAGAGGCCCAATGTCCACCTGCTACCTTAATACTTAACATATAAATATATGTACATAGATCTATTTCCCTATCATTATGTAGAAATATATTTACATATGTACATGCCTGTATTTAGACCTCTATAAATGTCCTTTGCCACCTCGTTCTTTCCTCTATTTCTAAAGATTTGTCTTTAAACAAATAGCCATCTAAGTGAGATGTTGACTGGGTTCATATGGAAGAAGCACACCAACCTGTGTGATCCAAGGGTTATAAATAATAGGATCCAAATGCAAAGGAGGGAATGCTATCAGAGTTTGAATTCTGAGCACACGTTTGCAGAAGGCTACGGTGGACAACGGAAGGCCAAAATCCATTTGCAGGGCCCCCACATGGATGAAGCTCCAGTGACTTCTCTCTGACCCTATCGCAAGGATGTGAGTAGCCTTGCTATCAGACAGAGAGCACTGCAAAGCCGATGATGGCAGATGTAGTTAGGTTAAAATATCATGCCTTATCATTTGATCTCCCTTTTGAACCATTTTAAAGTCATTTCCATTTTTAATGTTTTCTGCTTTCTTTTCTATTGAAAATTTTGTTTTGTTTTGTCATGATTGTTGGGTCTTTTCATGTGTTTGCTTGCTACTAGTTGGTGTTTTGTATGGTTTTCTGTGTGCACAATCCAGGATGGGTAAACTACAGAGACAGTAACTGGATTAATAATTACCTAGGGGCAGGGCAGAGTGTTAACAACAATGAGTTTGAGAAGAAAAATGTCCTGATATTGATTGTGGTGACAATTGTACCATTCATCTTAATATGACTGAATGATTATATGATATGTGATGTATATGCCAATAAGACCATTTTTAAAAGAAGAATTTGGTGCTCTGATGGTCATGCAAGAGCTTCTGAAAATTAGAAATTGTTCTAGCTATCTACAAGCCAAGTTAAATCACAGATTGAGATACATATCCAACATCCCACATGACCTAGCAAAGACGCTAGACCAGGAGCTGAAAGGCCATTCCGACCGCAGTTCTTTCATTTGCTAGCCTGCTTCCAACCTCCTTGAGCTTTTATCTCTTTGTCTTAACAATGGTAAGAGCATCCACCTCAAAGAATAATTCAAGATACAAAATACAATGCTTCTTTTTAAGTTCTCGATAATCTGTGTTTCCTCCCATACCTAAATTTTGCCCAGTTCATTCCCTGGTCCTCAGTTTCTAGTATTCTGAAGAAAGTATGGCTGTCCATGACTCAGCACTCTGAGGTGACTCTCATGCCTTCAAGCAGAATCACCAGGCTTTAAAGGGACCGACCACCTGAGTGACCCCTGGGAGGCTCAGTAGCAATGAATGGGATGTATTTATCTTGTGTGGTTAACAAGAGATAGATTTTTTTTATGGCTTTGCTTAAGTTATGTATTTTTTTTAGTTATCCCAAATTTGATCAAATATATGTTGTCACTCAACTTTGCATAGCATAACACTTACATTTTATCAAAAGGTTTAAAGTTAAAAGATTTTCTTTTTTAATGTATATACTCAAGGTTCTTGGAAAATAAGAATTGTTAGACTACACCTAAGCAAGATTTAAAAGTCCTCCCTCCATACTCGCTACCAGAACTTTCTCCCCAGGATAGTCTTGTAGCTGCCCTGTGGGGGGAGGTCAGATGCTTACAGACATCCTCCCTGAAGGCAGTTAGTCACCAGACTACAAAGTAGGCCTCACTCCCTGCTGTTCAAGGACAATGGACAGGCCCACAGTCATCATTTGGTTCCTGTAGGTGGAGTTCACACCCCACCGATAATGGTCTCTATCAGTTGAGCCAGGGAATGGGTCAAACGGCTCTGTGACATCCAAAGTTAGGCTGCCATCCTGTATCTAGGATCCGCCCATCTTGCCACATGTATACCCCCAATCCCTCCTCTTCCTATTGTGTGTATGTCCCTAGATCACCCCCTCTCATTGCTGTATGACCTATAGTACAACCCCTTCCTGTGACATATGTCTTTACCTGTAATTAGTGGGTTTGCACACCCCCAAAAAGGTATACAGGCCTGGGTTAGCAATAGAGATCTCTGTCGCTCGCCCTTTTGCCCCCTCTCTCTCCCTCCCTCTCTCTCTGCTCCTCCCTTGACCTCTCCTGGGCTCCCTCTCCTCCCCTGTTTCCCTTTCCCCTTGTCCTCCTTCCCTTCCCCCTCTCTCCACGTGGAACAACCAAGCAGGGCTGAGGTGAGCAATGCTACCATGAAGTGTGTCTGACTCCATTATTGTAATATCTCTTTTATCTCTCATGCTCTCGATGACTTTAATATAATACTTATATATCTCAACCAGACAACTGTGTTAATTAAACGCATGGTTAGTGGGGGGGGGCTGGCACCCCCACCTCAAACCCACTGCCCATTGCCGAACGTGACTCCCTTGCCCCTCACTGCAGTCAGTTAAGCCTTGCTCTGTGTACCTCCCGCCACCCCATTCCTGTCTTCTTCTTCCCTTTGGTTCTCTGTGTCTCCAAAGCATCTACAACAAGACTCGTTACTCTAATAAACAGTTAAGGCCAATACAATACTGACAGTAATTAAGAGTAGATAAATATTCAATAGATGCTAGGTAATGTGATAAGTGCTTTATCTGCATTATTTCCTTTACTGGCACTACCTCATTTAATGTGGTGATATCAACTGGGAAAGAAGAGTGATTTCTCACATAGGGCTTAGAACTAGGGAATAGTTCTATCAGTTGAGCATGCAAGTTTTGCTAGACATTATACCCTAAGTGCCACATGCTCCTTTACTATTTGTATAAAAACCCTATGAAATAGTTATCATTGTCCCCCCTACTACAGATAAGGAAACTATCGTTTAGAGGAAGCAAATTTGATAAAATACATGTTGTCACTCAACTTTGCATATCCTAACACTTCCATTGTATCAAAATGTCCAAGATCAAACAAGCTGCAAGTCATGAGTTCAGTTTTGAACTCATATCTGTCTGATTCCATATCCTAGGCTCTTAACAGCTGTGTCATACACTTCACTCGAATAGATTAGCTAAAATTAATTTGCTGGATTATCATTACTTAATGCTTATAGGTGGTAATGGTGATGGGAGCTGTCATGGGAGCCAGGTATACTGGTCGTGCTTTCAATAAGTGAAACATCGTGAGGTTAGGTTAGAACGAGAGACCTGGAGCCCACACCTGGATGGTGGGTACTCCGGAGAGCATTGTTGTCCTTGCTCATCCGGTCCATAATCGACTTCCAGGTGGCATTGACCTCATCAAACAAGGCTGATTCATTTGGCAGCTGCTTGCGGATGTCCTCTCCCATGAAGATATTCTGAGGGGACAAGAATTGGAGCACGAGTTTAATTTCACACATTCTCCATTCTCTGCTCCCTGGTCCCAGACTGAAGCTAACAGTTCATTAAAACATACTGAGAATTAGAAGCACTGGGAGGAAAGCTGAGCATAAGAGGCCATGTATCTGGGTCCAAGAAGAGTGGAATGAAAATCTGAGAAGACAGAAGGGTGGAGGGGAGGAGATGAGCCAGACAGGGTGCAGGATATCAACGATGAAACATACAACTTGCCCCCCACTATCATGATCCCAATTCTACCTTACAAATCTGGCTAGACCAGAGGATGTACACTGGTACAGATGGGAACTGAAAACAGGGAATCCAGGGCCGATGATCCCTTCAGGCCCAGTGGTGTGAGTGGTGATACTGGGAGGGTGGAGGGAGGGTGGTTTGGAAAGGGGGAACCGATTACAAGGATCTACATATAACCTCCTCCCTGGAGAGCGGACAACAGAAAAGTGGGTGAAGGGAGACGTCAGACCATGTAAGATATGACAAAATAATAACATAGATTATCAAGGGTTCATGAGGGAGGAGGGAGCGGGGAGGGAGGGGGAAAAATGGGGAGCTGATGCCAGGGGCTTAAGTCGAGAGCAAATGTTTTGAGAATGATGAGGGCAATTAATGTACAAATGTGCTTTACACAATTGATGTATGTACGGATTGTGATAAGGATGGTATGAACCCCTAATAAAGTGATTTTTAAAAATGTTTTAAAAAAGAACAACAACAAAGGCTTGCTAAGGAGGGCAGTTAAGGTTAGACTTCATTAGTGAGAATCAGATGCCAAGATTTCAGAGGGGAGACACGGTAGTGGAGAGCAGGGCAGAAACCTAGATCCTAGGCAAATAAAGGACTGAGAACAGGATGTAGGAAGAGCTCAACACAGCATCCTGACCTCCAGGTACATCCACTGACGCTGCACTGTAAGCACCATCTCAATGACTTCCAAAATAAGGGAGAGGCAGCGTTCCCAGTGATCCACATCCTTCTCAAAGGCCTTGACAAAACGAGACGCCTTCATGGTGGACAGAGACACTTGATTATCCTCCAGTGCCTGGAACAATTCCTCAGTACCTCTGAAGCAGGAGGAGTAGAAATCACGGTCCATCCCCAGCTACCAAAGCATGGTCCCCACGCTACAGCCCAGGTTAATTGCTCTCTCTCCTGCAGCCCTGAGCCATGCTCTACCTGAGTCGGTGATGGCCCTTGTCCTTGTAGGGCACAATGTCTAGTTGGATAGCATTCCAGGTCTTGGCAATGTTCTCTAATGCCTGTGGGGAGAAATTGGTAGAAAGAGCAATTAAGTATTGAGACCTATGGTGAATAGGGGCCCAGAGAGGCTCATAAAAAAAAAAAAATTAAAACAAACAAACAAACAACAAACAACAAACTCACATTGACATTGAATTGATGCTAATTCATAGCTACCCTATAGGACCAGGTAGAACTGTGGGTTTCTAAGCATGTAACTCTTTACAAGAGTAGAAAGCCCTGTCTTTCTCCCAAGGAGCGACTGGTGGTTTCGAACTGCTGACCTAAAGGATTGCAGCCCAACATGTAACCACTACACCACCAGTGCTCCTATGGAGGGGCTCATAGACAAGGAAAAGTGGAAGCCTTTGTTCCAGAGGCTTAGGAAGTAGGGAAGTGGGAGTGCATCCTGTCATACCAGTTCTATAGCCAACTCTTTGGTTGCTGCAGCAGAGATCTCTCCAATCTTCTCCACATGCTGATCCATCCCAAGCTCCACGATCTTCTCTAAGGTGAAGCTTTCAGATTCCTGATCAAACTCCCGCTGGATCTCATCCCTGACCTGATCCCAGTGCCTGCAGTCAGGAACAGAATGTCGGTGCAGGAGGCCAGACGCTAAGGTCTACTAGGAGACAGTAACATCACTCCCCAAGCTTTCTCTCACTGGGTTAGTCTAATGTCATGTACTTATTCATTCATGATTCCACAGATTGTCGCTAAATAGGCTCTAAGATGCCATTTTAGACACTATGGGGAATACAGAAATTGAGCTGACTCCCTCTAAAGAGGCAATTCTCTGGGGATGGAGCTAAGACCGAAAGGCGCATAGTCGTTAAATGAACTGCAGGTTTCCTATATACCATGCCCTCAGCTAAGTGCTCTACATGAAATACCTAATTTAATTCTTAGGACAACTATAAATTAGGAATTATTCTTCCATTTCCAGATGAGGTGACTGAGGCTTAGAGAGGTTAAGTAACTTACGCAAAGTAGTATACTTAATTACGTGATACTTATAAGTGAAACATTAAAAGCATTCTGAAAACCATATCAGATGTAATGCAAAAAAATCATTGTTTTATCCTAAATGGATAGATAATGATTAAAACGCCATTTATGCAATAGTTAATTCTATTTGATATTTCCCAGTGGTTGGGAGTGCCTCTTCCATCAAGTAATAAATTTCAGGTGCATTGAAAGAGTTAAACTTTAACAACAAAATTATAAAGGACTAGAAGAAGGTATTCAGAGAATGTAATGATAGCTTTGGGATAGGGAGAGCCTTCTTAAACAAGAGATAAAAAAACAAAACTCATAAGAGAGCAAAGTTATATTGTTGTCTCTATCGAGATAAAAATTTCTATACAACCAAAGGCATATAAGCTTGTTGCCGCCGTAAAGTCAATTCTGACCCACGGTGACCCCACACCTGACAGACTAGAACTGAGCCCTATCGGCTTTTCTTGGCTGGATTCTTCCTGGACTCAGGCAGCCAGGACTTTTTTCCGTGCCACCATTAGGTGAGTAAGAACTACTCCCCACTGGGTTACTGGTTGAGCATAAGTTGTTTACCATGCGGGGAACCTTCTTAATCATAGACCAGAGGAAAGTAGAGCAGAAGGGGGCTGGGGGTGGGTGGGCAGAGAACAGCTGTCAGAAAGGCGGGTTAGCCTATAATAGTGTGAGGAACAGGATAGCAGCCAATCCTAGGAGGCTTCTTCCAGACCTAATTGTGGACAGAGGAGAAGAGAGAGTTACGAACAACCTCGCAGGGGACGGGCACACTGCAGCCTTCCGGGAGCCCCGGCGCAGCCTCACCTGTCTCGGAGGGCGGGATTCCGTAGGTCTGCTATGAGGGGCATCGTCCTCTTAAACTGCTCGATCTTCGATCTCGTGGTCTCAATAATTTCCCAGTTCCGGTCCTGAGCAAAAATGGGCAGCATCAGAAGAGCCAACAATCTCTGCCTAGCGCTCCCTCCCTAGAAAGGCTTACCTCCTGCTGCCCCTATCCTCTCCCCACACACCTTGTACTCTTTAGCGAGTCTTGTGAGCCGGCGGAATAGCCCATGGGCCATGGTCTCCATGGCCTCTGTCTGCAGGGTCAGGAACCGGCCCATCTTCCACTGGTTCCAGTTCTCCTCCCAGTCCCGTGTGATCTCCCAGACTTGCTGGAGAGCATCGAGCTCCTGTATGGCCCGGAGGGAAAAGGGGAGGTACGAGTTCTGGGCTTGTCCCCTCTTCCTCCCTGATAAAAGACTCTCTCATTTGGAGAAGTTTTTTCCTCCAGCTAACAAAGCTATCTCCTTTGTTCTTAAGTTTTCTTCACTCCTTTTCCTTAAAAATTCCTGAAGCCAAAGCAGTCTGAAAAATAGTCAACATCAGCAGCCATTCGGGAAATGCAAATCAAAGTCATAATGAGATACCCCTTTATATTCAGGAGGATGGCTACAGTACATATGAAAACAAAAGGTAACAAGCGTTGGCAAGTAGGTGGGGCAAGCTACACACATGGACAATGTGTGTGAGAATAGAAAAGAGTTAAACACACAACTACTATGTGGCCCAGAGTTTGAGCTTCTGGGTATACACCCAAAAGACTTGAAAGCAAGGATTCAAACAGATATCCATACAGGAATATTCTTAGAAGCACCATTCAAAATAGCCAACAGGTGGAAACCACCCAAATGTCCGTAGGTTGATAATGGATGAACTAACTGTGGTACACATCCTTATACTGGGAATATTATTCAAACCTAAAAATGAGTGAAGTCCTGCTACATGCTACAGCATGGAAGAACCTTGAAAAGCATGCTGAGTGAAAAATGAGCATCAGACACAGAGACCACTGACAGGACACTCTCTCAAGTATCTGAAATGTCCAGAAGAGCAAATCCATAGACAGAAAGTAGACTACTGGTTGCCAAGGCTGAGCGGAGGGCAGAATCGGAAATGAGCATTTAATGAGTATGGGGGTCCTATTCTGGGGCAATGAAAATGTTCCGGAAATAGATTGTGGCAATAGCTGCACACTATTTTGAATACAACAAGGGCATTGAATGGGACATTTCACAAGGGGCTAGTCTTATGTGAATACTACATCGATTAAAAAAGAAGAGGAATACCCGCAGGCGTCCATCTCCCTGGTCCCCATTATTTTCCCGGACCCTCCGACCCCACGCTCCTGTCTCCTGACCCCTTAGCCTTGGCTACCAGGGGAGCTTGGTTCAGCAGACCACCTTCTCCAAATTCTGGAGGTCCTTGGAGGTCGGCTGCTCAATCTTGAAGATGCCCAAGTTGTTTCGGAGGGAGCTTTCTTCATCCCGCATGGTCGTCAGCATGGCCCGCACTTGTGTGATCTGTTCGAGGGCAGACATGTGCCCAACTTGGCTAGTAAAGGGACCTGGGGGGGAGTCAAGATGAAGCAAAGCTCAGATTCCCAGCCATGGCCAGTGGCTCCAGAAAGGACTATAATGGCACCCCGAGTTCTCTGTGGATAAATCTCACTTCTCCCCTCACATGGGACCCCCTGGAAGAACTGTTTAATTTTAGCAAATGTGGCTCAAGAATCAGAAATACCTGAGATATGGGAAGTGGATAGGAAAAAATGGGAATGGTAATCAGGGGTGCTGCCTTTCCCCTGACAACAGACTATCATGGTGTGCTCATCTTCTCCTGCTTCTGACAGAAACCCTAAGTTGTCACAGCTCGCTCCCTTCCCCACACCCCATCCTTCCTCTGTTCATCCTTGTCCTCACCTTCCCAGAACCCATACCTTTGGAGCTTCTTCCAATTCGTGAAGGGCTAGGTTAAAAGAAGCACACTACTGTTTACTGCAGCATTATTCGCAGCAGTCACAATGTGAAAACATCTTCTGTCCACCAACAGAGGAGTGAGTAAACTAAATGTGGCCTATCCATACAACAGAGTGTTGTTAAGACAGAAAGAGAAATGGGGTTCTCTTACATGCTACGCCATGGTTGAATCTTAAAACATTATGCTAAGTGAAATAAGTCAGACACAAAAGGACAAATATTGTCTAACCTCACTTACATGAAATACCTAGAATAGGCCAATGCTAATCAGAAAACTTAGTGGTTACTTGGTGCGAGAGGGAGGAGGTATTGGGGAGTTAATGCTCGAGGTAGTTTGTTTATTGTGCCAACCTGGCCGATAAACACATGTGGGGTTAATTGAAGGGCGGAGGGATAAATGGCTCTGTGAGCCTCGCCTTTCTAGTTCTCCGGTCTCTTGCTTTCTGATGGTTGGACCAGGGTGCAG